TCCCCTCCCTAATTCTTCTGTCCCAGAGACTTCCTTTGTTTGGCTTTTACCATCTTCAGCTGAGCAGCTGTGTCCAGCTCCCTGGGCCTGCTCAGTGGTCCCCACAGCCCCTACCTGACTCCAGGCATGAACTCAGATCCGTGGAGGAGACGCAGGGATCACTGAATTACATTAGGGCCCCGCTGGCCAATGGCCATTGAGCAGGGCTAGCCCAGCATCTCCTTTCCCATCCAGCAATCAAGCAGGTGCCCACTTGCCCTGGGGTGGGGGCTGGGGTGTGGTATAAATACAGTGCGATGCCATGGCCTTTACTGGGACAGAGAAAAGAAAAGAGAAGGAAAAGGATGGGAAATGAATCAGAGAGAGGGAGAGAGAGATTGGAGCCAGGCACTAGCACTCTTAATATCCTTCTAGGGGGAAAGTAGAGCTTAGTGGTCGACTGTGCTATGCAGGCACATGGTTCTGGGTTCAATCCCTACTACCTCCATTTAAAATAAACAAACATACTGACTTAATTACCTCCCGTGACACACACACTCCAAAAAAAAAAAAAAGATTCTTCTATTCATGTGAATATGTTCATGCCAGAAATGTTGGGCAGTAGCTATAGAAGATTTTGTCTCAGTCCATCACTGTCCTGCTTGGACTCTTGATGTCTGACAGCAGCATCTCTTGTGTGGACTAACTCTGGATCAGTCTGTTTGTAAGTCTTCTATGTTAGGCCTTTACTTATAAATTTATTTGGGGAAAGATTAAGGGTTTCTTTGGTTGAGAAGTAAAACAATAAAATGACATAAAGTGGGAAGCCACCACTGTATATGAAAGATGTAGGGACCCTAGACTGGGAGCCAGAAAATGAATTCTGCATATCAACCTGCTCCCCAGGGGGACATCAAAAAGGCAAGTTGTAAGTGAAGTCCCACGTCCCTCAGTCAGGGGTGAATCACAAAACCTGGTGAACTGCTGAATATTGACCACTCAACAGAACTGCTTGATACACACAACAAGCATCTGCTTGATATACACAAGGGAAAATCTCTTTTGTCTGACCCTCAAGGCCCTCTGGAAGTTGCTTCATCCTGTGCATCTGAACTTTTTGCACACAACTCCCCAAAATGACCATCAGTAGGACTTAAGTCCCCAGATTCAGACACTGAGGTCAGGATCCACATGCAAGTGACTTATGAAGGAAGTGTTCCTGGGAGAACCCAGCCCAGATGGGCCTGGATGTGAATTACAGCTCAAGGCAAGCCGCTGGGCTCTCAGCACATCCCGTCAGGGAGTCGCTGCTGCAGAGGTGCTCTGGCAGGACTGAAGTCCCTGGCACTTTCAATTCTCCACGTAGGAAGGAAAAGCAACTTCGGGAACCCTCAAGGAGTCTTCCAAAGAGTCCATGGTGCAAGTCCTTAAGCACAAGAACACAGAAGCCAGGTCAGTCAGGGGCCCAATGAGGTCTGAAGGATCTGAGTGCTTGCACACAGCATCCTCCGCACAACAGCCTCAGTCCTGAATCCTCACCAGCGCCACGTGCCCCGTCAGGGTGTCCTGCACATGCTCTGCCCTTTAGTCTCTGTGCCTGTGGTGGATGCCAATAGGGTAATGGCTTCCATTTAAGTCACATTTTTTAAATGCTTTGAAATTATTTTAGCCATAAATCTCATAAATTTTCTACCCTTTGTTTTGTAATAAAAGAAGCCAATTCTGCCCTGCAGTCCTTTATCATGGCCTCGCTCTCCCTTTTTTTTTCATTTTGATTTACATTTTCACTGGCCATTGGAGGGGTAACACACATATATATTTAATATATATATTCAGTCTCTCTCTCTATCCTTATATATAAACATTTATATAGTCTATCATCCTTTTTGAGATATTTTTTCCTTCAGAAGCAACAATTGTCTTCATATTGGACTGTCTTTTGACTGGTTTTATGTCTATTAGCTTCTCTCAAACTCTTTAATGGCTCTATCTTTTCATTAATGATTGAGTATCAAGTTTTTCTTCCACAGAAGTCATTTATTATTATGCTGCAGCTATAGTGCCCCCCTTTTTTGCTGTTGTTGCCAGAAAGATGCTTTTTTTTTTTTAATTGAAGTATAGTCAGATTACGATGTGGTGTCAATTTCTGGTGCACAGCACAATGCTTCAGTCATACATGAATATGTGTATATTTGTTTTCATATACTTTTTCACTATAAGCTACTACAAGGTACAGGTATATTTCCCTGTGCTTTACAGTATGAACCTGTTTATCTATTTTATATTTATATTTGTCAGTATCTACAAATCCCAAACTCCCAGTTTATCCCCCCCCACTCTCTTCCCCACTGGTAACCATAAATTTGTTTTCTATGTCTGTTGGTCTGTTTCTGTTTTATAAATAAGTTCATTTGTCTTTTTTAGATTCCACATATAAGTGACATCAGATGGTGTTTGTCTTTCTCTTTTTGCTAGAGTGCCCCTTTTGTTTACAATTAATTATGTACACTCTTTGCTTTGTTCTTAATTCATTTCCCAAGTTCTAAACATTTTTTTCCATAATATTGTGTTAACTTATCACCTCATTATTTTGTTTTTGTGTTATGAGACCATTTTAAATGTTCTGTCTCTTCAAGTACGTGTGAAGGATTTCTTTCCAACAATCAGTTTATGTTTCTCCTGGAACTGGTTGACTTTTTCCCACATCTTTTGCACATTATGGCCTTTTCTTTGATCTCAGTCTCATAATATATTTGCATTCTGTTTTTTTTATCATATTCATGCAGTATATAGTTTTGTCTCCAACTTTTATTTGCGTCTTGAATCGAATTTGACTGCAGTAGAGCTTGGACTCCTCAGTCTTTTCAGTGGAGACAAGGGAAGATTACTGATTATAAGAGATACTTTGATGGCTGATCTTCTGTATATGGATGGTTCTTCTTCCTTTCTGATGATCATACGATAAGAACATTGCCTTATTTTTCTGTTCCAGTGTCTCCAATTATACTTGGTGCCTAAGGAAGCCTTTAGGACTTTGCTGGGTTTGGTAAATCTTGTAGTAATGATCAAGGGCATGGAACATGGTTCACCCCTCCTAAGTGATCCCATGGCAACTGAAGGTCTGATTGGTTCCTTGAGCCCCGATGTGCTGGATTCCACCACCCTCAGACTCAGAGACCACTAGTGTTGTCACCACTTCCTGTGGTTGTACTTTCTACACTCAGATGCCCACTCCATTCATCATTCCTTCCCCTTCTGTTTTGTGATTTTTAGGAACTTACTATAAATTATAGTCCACCAAACTACATTTTCAAGAGAGGTCATGGATTTTGTGTTACTATCTCTTCTGTGATTTCTAGAGCTTGGTTCAAGAAGAGGAAATTTCTGAGACTTCTGAATTGAAACTGAAAATCAACCTACTTCCATTTGCTTTTAAATGTATTAATTGCCTTCCTGAGAGTTCTCAGTAGATGCTCTAAGTCTGTTTTCTCTATCTCCATTGAGTGTTCCCTTATATTAAACATGAAGCTAAAAGTCAAGGGTAAATCCCTGCACAGTGATGCTACAAATCACTATATAAGGCTAGTTGTGTCTTCATTTAGGTATTTTCCTGGCAACTATTTTCTGTGTCTTTCCAACATTTCACTGTGAATCACAACAGAATACCCGAGTCTTAGTTGATTAGAAGATGTTGTTTTCATCCAAGCCACTAACAGAAACTGGCTTCTTTTGAATCGACCTGAAGTTACTAAATTCTAACTCAACATTCTATCTTTAAAAAAAAAAGAAAAGGAAAGAAGAGAAAGAAAGCAAAAAAGAAAAGAAAATCAATTGGAAACACATAAGACACTTGAAAAGAGACACAAAATAATTTCTAAGTAGAAAGAATAATGTTCTAATCAAGCATCAAAGAGCCAGGCCAACCCCGCTGATTCCATCTTTTTGAAATGACTTCACCTCTCTTCCTCACAGATTCTGGGTTAGGACCAGAGAAGGTGTGGGCTTGTAATCTGTGTGCCTGGGTGGTGGTCTTAGAGCTGCTCTGACTGTTGAGAAAGATGCCATTATCAGCATCATGATATCAAGAACAGAGAGAAAGTTGGAAACTTGGTGATACAGAAATGATAGCTAAGTCAAAAAGAAAATAGAAGAATCTGAAAGAAAGTGGTATGAGGGGAGGAAAGAGAGACGCTGAGCTTTTTGCCATTAAACCCAGGGGAAAGCACTTAATATCATGCGCCTTAGGCTGGGCCGCGTTACAAAGCAGTTAGTCTTGGTGTCTGTGTACTGCTTTGCAGTCAAGGTCTCAAAAGATGAACGCTATCTGGTAACAGGTGACAAAAAGTTTTTTAAATATTCAGACACATCCAAACCAGATGTCTTTCATTTCACATCACCCACCTCCATGTGTACCGAGCACTGCTTCCGGATGTAGAGGTGGAAGAACTTCTGACATGCTCCGGCTAAATGCCACTTGTTCTTTCTGTGTCTGAGTGGTAGAGGTTGGGGCTTGTGCAGAAGTTGAGAAAGGACACTGATGCATGTCAAGATGAGAAGAAATAAACTTAATAGAATGGGGAAAATCACGTTGCAGACATCAAGAGTAGAGAAAGCTTGAACACAAGCAAAATGGAGAGAATAGCTGGTCAAAAAAGAGAAATAAGAGAATCCAAAGAAATGACATGAAGAAGGACCACAGAAACACATAGCTTATCACCACTGACCTACAGGCAGTTCCCTGTGTAACCTGTCACCTCAGGCCACGTCCTCTTACCAGTGTCCCAGGGCACCACTGTTACAATCAGTGTTCATACCGGGTTCGCACTCTGGTAACAGGGGACAGAAACCTAACCGATTCCATGTGGGATTTTACAAAATAAGAACTTCTTATTTTTTCTTTTTTTGGCTCATCAGCATGTCAAAAACTCCTTAATTGAGGTCTTTTCTCATCTTTCCTTCTCCTGCTTTTATTCCTCAACTCAATAAATTCTTTTATTTTCCCCTTTATGGCTTCATGTTTTTCCACTGTACAGATGTTCTACAAATTTTTTAAACCTTCTGTATTGAAGTCTAATTGATTTACAATGTTGTGTTAGTTTCTGGTGCACAGCAAAGTGATTCAGTCACATATATATGTCTTTTTCCATATTCGTTCTTATTATGGTTTATTACATGATATTGAATACAGTTCCCTGTGCTATACGGTAGGACCTTGTTCTTTATCTCTTTCCTATGTAGTAATTTGCATCTGCTAATCCCAAACTCCTAAACTGATCCCTCCCCACCACTTTCCTCTCTTACAATGGTAAGTTTGTTTTCTGTGTCTGTGAATCTGTTTCTGTTTTGTAAATAAGTTCATTGGTATCATTTTTTAGATTCCCGATACAAGTCGTATCACATGGTATTTGTCTTTCTTTCTCTGACTTACTTCACTTCGTATGGTCGACTCTAGGTCCATCCATGTTGCTGCAAGTGGCATGAGATAAATTCTTGGTTGATATTCTTCTTCAACAAGTTCTCCC